GAGGAAAGGGATGAGCCTCTGAGCGACTTAAATGATTGGGAATTTTGTCGCTAATTTGACACCTCTACACTTTTCTGAGATAAAGTTATCAGCTGTTTTGCATATTTTACAGATACTTTTTCATAGAAAACATGAACACAAAAAACAATGCAAACCAATGAAACTGATACATTCTTCGGTGAAACAAAAAGTCCCTCTTATCTAGTCATTTTAATCTTGAATTGAGTCTGTAGGAAAATAAAAAATATATAGTTTTGAAATGCAGTGACAATGCAATATAATCTCTCTAAAAATTCGTTTTTTCTTCATGTCTTTGTCCCCTAAAATGTCTGACCTTGACTATACTGACTCGTGTCTGTTACTAGGGAGGCGATTCTTTCTTTCCTCTGCTAAAGGGTGCCAGCTGGAGTTAGTATGTCATAACTTAGAGATCTAATGCAACTGGCTGCAAATACATTTTTACCATTACTTCTCCGTGCAAAAAGCTTCCTTCCAATGCAGCTTTTTTACTTGCAAGTCAACTAGATAGAAAACAAATAAATGCCTTTGTGATGAGCAAAACCCCAGGAGACTTGTGTAAATAGCTCATGAATGAAATTAATCATACAGTCATAAACCTACTATATATTCAATATTATCTACAAATTGAATTAATTCTCTCGCACAGTTCCTGTTGCAGGCAGAGCTCCTGCGAGGGAAATCTGGAGAGGGAAGTTGTGCGTGACGGTTTTACCGGCAGCAGAGAGTTCGACCTCCTCCTCCGGGAAAATAATAGTTTGTTATCTCGTACTTAGATGACTTTTGAGGCGAGACCTTTGCTGGGAATATGACAATAATTAAGTAATGTGTGTCTGGACCCTCACTCTCAATCTGGAGAGTGGCTCTTTGTTTACACTCCTGTCTCCTTCCCCTGGAGAACAACACTAAAAGAGTAGGAGGAAGAGTGAGAGAAAGACTCAGTAAATATGTTCTCAAACGCCCTAATTGAAATTGGATTTTAAACTGCTCGCTGGACCGTGGTGGCGGGAATCAGGTGCCGGAGAGGTAGCCCTTTTGCATTGCAAATGTAATTTTCTGTTTTTTTTACCCATTGCCCAGGAGCCTCTCGAATATAGCTACCAGATATGTTTTTTCATGAGCCATTTTCTTCAGGTTCAGCCTCTCATTATGCCAATACCCATTGCGATACGTTTTTTTGGATTGAACTACAGGGTGGTTCTGTTATTTACTGAGCTGGAACGTAAGTCTTTGTGGGAAATCGTATTCTCTTCATGCCCAGATAGAGCCTGATGGAGGTGAAATGTTGATTGCACAATATGTATGGGGAAATTAACAGCTAATGTGCTTCATATTTTTATTCATCACTCAAATGAATGGGGTACTTTTTTGTTTATCTTTCTGTCATTTCCAGATCTATTGCCTATTTGGTGCCCGTTAAGGAGGGGAATTCTGCTTTTTGTTTGCCTGAAGATAACAAACACATCAGTCACTTTCTTATACTGAACATGTTTCTGCCAGTGGTGAAGGAAGTATTCAGATAATTTACCTAAGTACATGTCCTTAAACCGAGTACAAGTCTCCCAGTACAAGTCTGACATTGAATAATTATAGTAACAATGTGCAAACTAAAGAACATCTTGCAATAGGATCACACCAGACAGTGTTCCCTTCACTATTTCCCCCTACACCAGGGTGATGATATGTCAATGTTGGTAATGCGTTTCAACTTCCCCCAATAAATCAGTTTATTCACTAAGGCTAAAATTAAGAGGCGGAATCAATATTTTCCTGAAGGTTTTCTGTCTGACATCCACATTTTTCGCACTGACTCACTGCATGACAAATCAGTAGAAGATTGTTGCCCTCCCGTGTCCCAATGATCCCACGCGGTCTGTCTGTAAACTGAGATCAATACCTCCTCAGAGTAGGTTTAAGAACCTTTTAAAAAATATCCCACTCAAAGCTTTCCGTGGTTTTGGTGTTGATGGTCACAAACAAGGTCATTGCAGTCGCTTATGGAGTCATATTCCTCAAGCAGAAATGTTTTAACATTGACCAAAGGCTCTTATGTTGAAACTTTATTGCCGCTCTGCTGATGTTAATGGTCCCCTTTTCTGCCGGCGCTCCCAAACTCCCACACTGTACTCCTTCCTCAACGCCAGGCCTATCAGCTCTGTCTGACGGCTCAACAGGCCGACTGGTGATTGCTCTGATGGATGGCTGAACCCTAGAGGAGTCGTGAGTCTCACACTGTAACGAGCGGAGGTTCAGCACCTCGCTACGCCCACCACGAGCCGTCCAATCACCTCCACACTTTGACACATCATTTCCCCTGTGATTTGTGGCCGGAGTGAGTTTGAAGGAGACAAGGAAATGTTCTGCCGCCAAGAGAACAGATGGATGTTGAAGCTCTGCAGACTGAGACGAGGGTTGTTTCCTTTTTTTTCTTCTTCACTCTCCCGTCCTTAAGAAGCCTCTTGCGTTATAAGGGATTGGTTTCATGCTCCATAATGGACTCCTGATGACTAGCTATTACAGCACATTTTCAGAAAATGACCTGCCATTTCTATCTTCCTTTTGGGGTGACATAAAACTAACTAACTGTCCTTTCCAGGAAAGTGGTGTATTATCTTGTGAAAGTCCTTTTTGTGCCGTTTTATGCAGGATCACATTTTGAAGCACTCTGTTTGTGATCAAAGATTGGCGGTAATACTATGAAATGATTGCATGATGTAACATACGTGCAATTCGTAAATGAGAGTCTCGTTGGGGCAGCAAATGGTCACCGTCTCTTTCATCCCCCCCCCCCCCCCCCCCCCTCACATGTTTGATCTTGTCTCTCTGAGAAGCAAAGCCCCTTTGGGATGTTTGATGTTGCAGATCAGAGCGAGAGGCGGTGATGGCACTTTGGCTGTGGGGCTTCACCATTACACCGAGCCACATTCAATCTTCTCACCATCAGATAACTTCAAAGAATTTGCGAAAGCACCACCTTCCCAAAATATCTGGAGATTCCCACCGGTGTTGTGTGTTAGATTAGCAGCACGTTATTGAAGTTTCCTGGGGAAAAAAAAGAATAAAAAAAAGTCTCCAACTCTGCCCGAAATCTATCCATCACCCCAGGCTCCGAGATGTCATAGCACACCACACATTTTTTCATCTCTGTCCGATTCTTTTTCACTTCTGTGCATTGATCCCTCCAGCTCTGCCGTGCCAATAGCTTCTCCTCTGTGAGACCTTTCCTCGCCCTCCATCTCTTATCCATTATTCATCACTCCCGCTCCGTCTGTCGAGCCACAATCCCTCTCACTTCCATTCTTTTGCTATATTGCAATATATTGCAATATATGAAACAATGACGTTGACGCAATTGTTGCTTTCTTGGTAGAGATGCTATAACAGAAAAGTAGATAACAACACATGCGCCTTTGACTCTTGAGTCTTCAGTCATGCTAGTGGCTCTGTGAGGCTGTACTTTGAGTTCAATGCTAACATCAGCATGGTAACAAGCTGATGTTTCCTATAAGAAAATAAAAGCTTTGACCTGACAATGGCGTTAAATGAAAAGTCACCAAAGTCGTAAAATTACATTGTCTGTGAAATATGAATGCGTGTATAATTTGAGCAAATTCATCAAGTAGATGATCAGATCATTCACTGCAAGTAAACACCTTGATAGGTCAATGGGTCCCCAAAGTCAGTTAAATTGATCCTCTTGGGACCCTGACTATCTTTGACACATTTCATGGATATCAATCTTTTGGATTTTTCACTCTGACAACCTGCTGGTGGCACAAATGGAAAGTAAAAAGATCTCAAGAGTCAGTGGGATTTTGTGGAATATGAATGACTTTGCAAAATGTAGGATTGGTTAAAATATTTCCATCCGAACTTAAGTGGTGGACCTGGCAAAAAGTAATGACACACTTTTCAACCATTTGCCAGCTCAGCTTTTCTAAAGTATGAGTTGTTAATAATTTTAAAGATAGGGAACGTGTGTGTCAATAAGCTGGTATAAACCTCTGCCAACGAGACAAAGTGAAGCATATTTTCATACTCAATACAACTTAAAGGTAGGGTAGGTAAGTTTGAGAAACCGGCTCGAGATACACTTTTTGTTATATTCCATGGAATGCTCTTAACATCCTGATAGCAATGAATATCTTAAGTGCTTTGACAACAAATCCATAAAATAATGTCATCTGTGGAAGCCGTAGTACTGTAAAAAGCACGACCAATCATCTGAGCCGGCCCGGCTAAAATAACTGGATGGCCTACCTGCCTGTCAGCCTTCCATCTGTGCACAAACTTATCTCGTGCCCTCATTGGTCATGTGCGCGTTCGTGTGTGTTGGAGGAGGGGCTCTGTAAGGAAGTGGCAGATTTTCTCCGGTTGTGTATTTTCAAATTCTAGCGATCTTGAGCTGGTTTCTCAAACTTACCTACCCTACCTTTAAGTTAAGAGGTTACTGTGAGTCATCGTTGTTAAAATGATAAAAAAGAAAAATGACAATGAAACACTTTTTAGCTCAGTGGAGCTAAAAGTTAAAGCTGTGACTGGATTTGTTTCTGCAGGTTTTCTGCATGTATAGAGTATAATGCTGCGTGTGTGAAGAATTCAAATCTATCTCATAACCTTTACATATACAATTTGTGTATATGCAGCCAAAATGTTCCTCAGTCATCACCTCTTTTCTTGCCTGGGTGCTACAGTATATTGTGTATTTGTTGCGTTGAACAATATACCTTTTGTTTTTATACAGTATATTCATTTTGCTCTACACTTTAGTTGCTTATTCAAAGTATTTCTGTTGTTGTTACCCATTAGCCTTTACTGCTGGCAGATTGATGATGAAACTGGAAAGCATCTACTCATTTTGCTCAAGCTATTAAAGTACTAACTATGAAGACATTTGATTTAACGATCAGTTTTATTGAATGATTGCTGCATGTCTCCGTCTTGTTAAAGTGCTCCATCTCTCTCTCTCTCTCTCTTCACAGAAGAAGTCATTGATCGCCACCAGTCTGATCGTGGCGGTGTCGCTCTTCGTGGTGGTGGTGAACTACTCGGAGAAGCCGTACTTCCTGCTGAAGCCGGTGTTGGATCAGACGTTCAGCAGCCACTGGATGTTCTCCAAGCAGCCGTACAAGGCCTTCAAACCTCACCTGGGCTACGTTAGCATCCCCAAACAGGAAGTGAGTGACACACAGACTAAAAACACTAACCAGCATGCACAATCAGAAATGGCAACCTCACTCAACCTCAAAAAGTTTCACATCTCTACTAGACTTGATATGAGTTGATATTTAGTCCCATCAATTAGGTAAGCAAACTTTTCTTACCGCTAATGCTAACATTGTCTGTCAGCTGGTTACCTTAAAGGTGCTAAATAGATAGTGTACATAACACTATCTATTTAGCACCAAACGGTGGTTCAAGATGAACCAGGGTCTTGAATTTAAAGAATTGAAAGTTGTCGTTACTTTGTCTTACCCAATCTTACAGCTGAAAGTGACAGACGATAACATTAAAAAAGCTAATTAAAAATGAAAATGACGGAAAAAGGAAAACTTTGGTACATGTCAGTTATCAAGGGGAAACAAGAAACTTCCATTTGTAAGATATAAAGTGACTAAACACAGTTAACAGTTAATAACTTCACAATGGTAATCTGAAGCTTTAGTTTTAATGTTGTTTGAACATAATTTAATTGACCAGTCAACAAGTGGATAACATCAATGACAGCATAAGCATCTAATATTTTACAATGAGTCTTTTGACATTTGTCGTATGATAGTATTTCTGTCATAACGTCCCTCACAGGTTATTTTATTCTGCGTTTATATTCTAAAACCCTCTAAATCCTCAGTTGACGTTAACCCGCCATCAGGCAGCTTCACCTCGATAATGAAGGTGTATTCATAAGCGCTCATTCAGACAGCAAAGCGCCTCCTTGAGGATTTCTTCATTCATTAACTCAGGTTCTCTGTGATTGCTCTGAAAACGCCTGTTTGAGGTCTCTCGTGGGCACTATTTATTTTGTAATTCCAAACAGCCATGTCCGTGCTCCTATTCTTCTGCCTTCAAACACCTCTCTGCTGTAAATTCCCCGCACAATTCATGGAAATTGAAATATCAAAGCATTTTAATTCCCACCATGTAAAAAAACAAGCTGTTTGTTTGTTGTTTGAGGGAGGCAGCCTGAAAAACCCTGAAACTGTGCTTATACTGGTGCACATTGGGTAGTCACGCAGGAAAATCGTTTATTTTTCTCGCAGAAATGCGTGCAACGTTTCAGTCTGACGGGGAATGAGGAGAGTGCTTTCGGTTTGGGCTGCAACACATCTAGATTTGGAGTTTCGATGGGCGCGTTGGTCCTTAATGAGAAGAGGATGCCTTGTATTCAGCACGCTGATATTGGCAGATAAATGCGGAGCGCCACCCTCTGCCTCAGGAGGTTTTCATCCACACAACGCAGGCCCAGAGGCAATCACGTATTACACCAATCTCTACGTCTGCACCTCCTTCTGCCTCCAGCCAAGCCTGCTTAAATCACTGCCCTCTCCCCATGGAGACATTTATGCAAATCATAGGAAAGACTGGCAGCTATTGCAGAATTACGCCTCGTTTCGGCTCAAATTCCCCCAGCAGTGAGTTCTTCACAGCCAATCAGAAAGGGCAGTGATTGACCTGGACGTGTGTGTCAAAAATGTTCTGCAAGCTGCCAAAATCTCTGACAAAGGATGGACAGAATAGTGGAGGTCTGGTCAAGGTGATGCTCGTGTGCTGGTTGTCGTAAGCGATTATGTCCGGAGTGAAAGCCGCTGTGTGAGCTGTCAGCCTCTGTTAAGCACACAGCAACACCTTTTAGAAGCAGCAATATTTCTCCCAGACAGTAAGGCAATCTTACATGACCCACAGTGAGGTGTCATTCCAGGTGTTATAAACCTCTTGCAAGCATGTATAATGCATAACCTGGTTAACTTGGGGAATGGCCGGCCTTATTTTCTTCATTTGATTGAGTCTGCTTCCAGGTATGATAAATCGCCCCCGCTCTGCCTTTCAGGAGAAATAAAAAACATTTGTCTTGTGGCACTTTATATTCAGGACCCTGGTTGGAGGCAGAAACTCATTATTTTCATTTTAGACGTGTGTTTTTTCTATTACATACTGACCTTTTGAAATGTACTATTGTGCAATATGAAGGAAAATATGCTTCTATCTTTTTATTATTATTAGAAACTCTTAGGTTCTAGGCAAGCTGAGACGTAGCTATATTTTCACCTCATCATGCAAACATGCTGATGTTTATCACTTAATGTTTAACACTGTTGACAATCTAAGTTCTGCATGTTAGTGTCCTGCGTGTCTTAATTAACACTAAACACAACATTCATTTTAGGATGATGAAAATGTCGTGTCGACGTGTTAGATGATATTTTTACCAAAGTGGGTGCATTTTTGTGAAATGGCATAGACTGTAGTCGGTCTTTTTTAGGTAAAATAAATACTCATATCTTCAAATGGTACATTTGGTAAAGGGAAAGCATTAATATTACGCTTTATCCAGTCTTTTACGACGCCTCAAATGCTTTACATATACAAGTCATGATTCTCCCGTTCACACAGGCAGGGGCAGCCACCTGTTCAAGGATCTATCACACACACACACACACACACACACACACACTCACACTCACACTCACACTCACACACTCACACACTCACACACTCACACTCCGCTGGCCATGACATCGGTTAAGTATCTTGCCCAAGGATACATCGACATGTTGCACTGCAGGGGCTGGGATCAAAACCCACCACCTTTTCTGCTTGACAGACGACCGCATTAACTTATTCACATTAACCTCAATAAGTAATGTGAATAATTTCCGCATTTCAAATCTTCAAATTACTTTGTCTTTTGAGACATATATAAATATTTCATCTGTGGAAGCCGTGGCGCTGTAAAAAGCAAGTCCAATTATCTGCCTCGGCCCGGGTCAGATAACTGGATGGCCTACCTGCCTGTCAGCCTTCCATCTCGTGCACAAACTTATCTCGTGCCCTCATTGGTCATGTGCGCGTTCGTGTGTGTTGGAGGAGGGGCTCTGTAAGGAAGTCTGAAGGAAGGGGCAGTTTTTTTCCCGGTTGTGTACTTTCAAATTCTAGCTTACTCGAGCTGCTTTCTCCATTCTTACCTACCCTACCTTTAAGTGCAGTACTGCATGTGAATGTAATTATTTACGTCCCACCGCTGCCCTGTAGTATAATGTTTGTGCCCCAAGAGGAGCTTTTGCACTGGGACTCGACCCCATTAATGTAATAATTATTGCTATTAATTCATTGTGTTTAGAGCATTTTAATCAACGTCAAGGTTAACTTCACACCCCGGTGCTATAATTAAATGATGACTGAGTTCACAGCATTAGGCCTTCTTATTTATTTTTAAATAACCTACTTTATATTCGACACAGTCATGCATTTAAATCTGAGGCTTTCAGTAGATGTTGTACTTATCCGAGCGTGGCAAAGTTATTGGGATTATATAAAAGTGCCCCCTGTTTACGATTACTGCATCGCGCACTGAAACAGCTCCATCGTAAACATGAAACTGAAACATGAATCACAGCTGAGCGGACGAAGAGGCCATAATATTTTATTGATGTACAGGAAGTAATGGTCAGAGATTTGTTGGCTCGAATCCAGTCATATATACAAAAGATTATTATTATACGTTAGATTACTTTTTTACACTCTTCATTAATAAAGTGATTCATGTTCATCGGAAACTAATAACGTTTTATATTTGTGAACTACTCAGAAGCCGTTTTTTAATTTCTAAATGAAGCTTAATTAACGCAGGAGTAATCTCACTTGGTTCTGTTTTATTAATGAACATCCTCACCCCTCACGGAGGATCTCTACTGCAGCAGTTGTGTGTAAAATGCCTTGCTCAGGGGCTCCTTAGCGGCAGGTGTTCACCATGTGTCTGCCATGCAGTTAGCCAGCCTGCGTTCCCCACAGAGTTCAGCCAATCTGTGTGTGCGGAGAGGCGTGATGGAGTTATGAGCCGGCTGAGGGGGATGATGGACGAGCCGCTGACAGCTCAAGGCTGCGCTGATGTGTGTCTCAACCACCCTGCAAACGGAGAGCTAGCCCAGGTGCAGAGATCGTTTCTTAACCCCTGACTGAATCCATACATGAGAGGAAAAGCAATAGCAGGTAGCTCTGGTGGAGAATCCTAAGCAGGTGATCTGCTCTATTCACCACTATGTGTTGATAAGTGTAGCGGGGGTCTCTCTTCTCTTGATTATATCCATGCACACTTTGAACCAGCCCTGGTAAATCTCTTTTTATGTGGTTAATGACAACCATGACTTGTGTTTTGATTATGCTGCTGGACTGACAGTAACAATCCAACAAAAACAGCTCCTATAATGATTTAAAGATGATTTAATTGCTTATAATAATAATAACTACTGTATGTAACTATGTGGGCGACCGTGGCTCAGAGGGAGCGCGGTTTGTCTTTCAATCAGAAGTTTGTGGGTTAGATCCCAGCCCGTGCAGTCAACATGTCGATGTGTCCTTGGGCAAGACACTTAACCCTGAGTTTCTCCTGATGGCAGGAATGTGTATGAATGTTTGATCCCTAGAGCAAGTGACCCTGCTCTGTATGAATGTGTGTGAATGGGTGAATGACTCGTATGTAAAGCGCTTTGAGGGGTCGTAAAGTTTTGATAAAGCGCTGTATAAGTACAGTCCATTTACCGTTTACATCACTTTGTAACACTTCGATTGGTTAACGCTCCAACACATTGTACGTGATAGGCTAAGGGGCGGGACATCTTTAAGTGGTTGACCAATCACAACAGAGCCGGCCAGCTAACCAGAGTGGACTGGGCTCTGGTTTCAGACAGAGGGTGAAAAGACAGGCAGTATGAGAAAAATAAAGAGCTTTTTGAACATTGAAGCACGGTGACATGTCACAGGAGAGACACTACATACTAATAATAAACCTGACAATGAGCGTAATGGCACATACATTGTTCTGTTACAGATGTACTGTACACACACAGATAGATTAATAACAAGTATATAATTATAATTACAAGACACATGAGTTTTTTTACAGTTTTTCATTTATCACTCACACGCAGACACACTCCCCATGCTCTAACTAGTTTCCCCGGTGATGGGCTTTCATGGCTGCATTGTTACCTTGGAAACTGTAACCTATTATTAAATATGAAAGACAAATAATAGCCTCAAATTAAGTCGCATGATTACCTTCTGTATGAAAATGTTTACCAATTAAACGTGATTATTTATTTAATGTTTTAGAGGCATATGTTGCATACATCAAGTAGTCGTAAATTAAATGAATACATTGTATTGTGAGATTCTTTTTGCTCCTAAAACGTTCTTGTTTGTTGATTAAAAGTAGAACATGCAAGAGAGAACTTTGGCCAGACTACAGCAAAAATGCAATTTATATTCAAACCAGTGGAATTACAGTTACCCTCCATTAAGCAAACGATCAAACCGTCACGACACAATGCTTTTTCTTCTTAACTTTCGCTTGCATTCATTCACTTTAAGTACGTTTAATCTCATCAAAACAAACCGAGCATATTAGCTTCAATTAGTTAAATCTCCCAGTTTGGATTCAGAGAGCTCTTTCCCTCTCTTGGCAAAGCTTAGCTAAGAGCTATTATTGAAGATTCATTACAAATCCCCCCCCCCCCGCTCCAGTAAAGTATAATAAGATATATATAAAAGGTATACAGTAAGATAAATGACACGAGTCCCCTGCTTCTCCGCTCTGCTTTGCCGCAGTAAGACTGTTGTAACCTCTGAGGTCCCACATTCAATTAACTTAATCAATGTTAGTTCTGGGCATGGTGACATTAATCTTGGGACGTAAAATAAAATTATATAGGCCTGTAAAACCCTGATGAATGATTAAATTAAATAAATAATTACCAAATGTATTTTAGTATCCTCTGATCACACAGGCCCCTTGCCAAAACGTCACTTTAATGTTTTTATTGCATTCATATCAAAATGGCAAGAGCAGTTACGTATTTAAGACGAGAAGTAAACTCTGAGGTTCTCATTTTGTATTACCAAAATAACCTTTAAGTAAAATGAAAGACAGAAGGCGTACTTTATCCAGTCGTTACACCAGGTCCTAATGGGGTTCCTATCTTTGTAGAAATGGCATAATAGGAGCACATTTATTAAGAATGTTATCACTTTTTTTCCATTTCCTTTAAAGCAGAAATAAAGATTTTCTTTGTCCTTGACAGAAAATGATAATAACATTTTGCAGGAGACAAATGACTTCATTACCAATAGCAGAAGTTACCTCAACTTTTCTTTTTGTTTTGCAAGTTGGGTGTTTATATCAAAGCAAAATAACTTTTTCTCAAGCTATTTAAGAAAATGACAAAGCACTGCAGTCCTGTGATTTTCTGATTCTGTGATTGCTCTTCTTTTGGTCTCTTTTCTTATTATCCTTTTTGTGTGGCTGATCGCAGCCCTGCTTATGTTGCCTTGGTTGTTTATAAAAGTTATATATTGCTTATTCTCTCTTTATGCACAGCAGTAGCCTCGATTCAAAGCAGATAAAGCGGCAACAGACAGGTCCTCCGTGTTTCATTATTAAGTCTGTGTAAAGCCTATAATTAGAATATGATTGGTGATTTGTTACCTGTCTTTTTTTATGCATGATGTACTTTATGCTCCGATGAAAGTTTGTCAGGCTCAAAGCATGAGATAAAGTGAAACACTGCAGTGAGGATATTTCTTATATCAGTTTGGACTTATTGATGCTTCCAGCACATTAGCAAATGTAAAGCAGAGTGCAGTGGTCATCCTGCATTATTAAGCCTGTGCATTCAGACCTGAAATACTTGAATCCTGACTTGCAGTTTTCAGGCAAACATATTTGGCAAGACTTGGACATAGCTTTAGGAACTTTAGACTTGAGTTAAGAGTTGCACAAACTAAACTAAACTAGTCTTAAATCACTTTAAGACTTGGACATGGACACATCTTCAAAAACATGATATTTAATTTTTAACTACTTCACATGTCTTTATTAATTTTGGACTTCACTTCAAAGTTACTCTTACAAACTTGAGACTTAATCCAGACTTGTCTTAATTGATTTGAGACTATTCCGATTGATTTTGAATTGAGACTCTACAGAAACCTGCTTCACTTACGTATCGTCCACACGGTTCCGTCGCGTGCTTCAACGAAGATGCTTCCCATTCAAAGTGAATGGGATGACGTCACGCTTTGCCAAACTGCATTGTGGGTCCGTCGCGTCGCTTTGCCTCCGTTGCTTGCTTCGAAAGTTGAGAAAGGTTCAACTTTTAAAGCGTTGACGGAAGAGCCAGCCAATCAAATCCTATGCCAGTACAAGCGCTAGCCAATCAAACCGCGTGTTTGTGTTTCCCGGCGGGAGATTAATGTGATTGGTTGTTAGTCGCGCACCAGACACGCCCACCGGCAAGCTTCAACGCGACGGAACCGTTTGGACGATACGTTAATGTGAGACTCGCACTATAGAGAAATGTTGCTCAACAAAGACTTGAGACTAGATCGTTTTCTGATTGACTTGGACCTGAGACTCGACTTGGCCCTTTTCTCAATTGGCTTGAAACTTAATTTGTGACCTGAATTCCAACTTTCATTGACTTAATTGTTTCTTAACCTGGATTTATCTTCTCCTAAGATTTGACTCAAACTTGTCCTAAGATCTGACTTATAAAATGTCCTAAATCAGACTTGACTTAAACTTTCCCTAAGACTTGACTCCTTCTAACCTGTGAAATAGACTTTGCCTTGCCTCCATTAACTTGAGAGTAAATCAGACATGACTCGAGTCTTGACTTGATGCTGATGGATCGTTGAAACGGTCTTTTTGTCCCCCTGCAGCCTCTGAAGCTGCAATGTGAGCTCTGCAGCATCGTGTCCAGCTCCGGCCAGATGTTGGGCCAGGCTGCCGGGGCGCAGATCGATCGCTCTCCGTGCATCTGGCGGATGAACAACGCGCCCACGCGGGGTTTCGAAGTTGACGTCGGCCAGCGCACCACGCTGAGAGTGGTCTCGCACACCAGCGTCCCCCTGCTGCTGCAGAAGCCTCAGTACTTCTTCGGACAGGCCAACGACACCGTCTATGTGGTGTGGGGGCCGCTGAGAAACATGAGGAAGGACGGGAAGGGCATCGTGTACAACATGCTGCGACAGGCGGCCGAGAACTACCCGCATGCACGCATCTACGTCACCACAGAGGAGAGGATGAACTACTGCGACATGGTCTTCAAGAAGGAGACGGGAAAAGACCGGTGAGTCACATCTCGTTAATATATTTGCTCCTGTTTTTTGGCTTTGCAACATTCCTCTCTCGGACAAATGTACCACTTAGTGCTTTGACATTCACTGTTCAGTTCTTTGCTATAATATCATCTCTATCGATGCTGATGGTGTGCTCTGTGCTTTGCGTTCCTCAAATCCTCCCTTTCATGAGGCCTCTTCAAAGTGAATTACTGTACTTTCCCTCTGAAGAGGCTTAACGCGGCACCAGAGGCCGTTTTCCAACTCAAAGCTTTTATGATGAGCCTCAGAAGCATGGACAGCCTATGGTATATACCTCAGCCAAATGGCGGTGTGGGGAAACGTCCTGTTGTTAATGAGGTGGCAGGATTCTGGCAGTCTTTCTAAACACCCTGAGTGCAGCCGGCCTCACAACTTCTCTGACAGCATTTTGGCACATTTTGAATTCGCAAAAAACAGTCAAATTATCCAAGCTACAGCTCTGTAACCTGGGAAGTTGGAAAAGTGTTTGTTGGCAACAACATGTGTTAAAATTGCACTCTGTAATTTAAAGACTAACCCACGCAGCAACTCCTTTCTCCTGCAAGTCCCTAAAGAGAACTGCAGGTTAATGACTATGAGATTCAGGCTCCAGCCTCGCTATTGTTCAGGACCGACCTCATTTCTCAGACTCTCCTCTGCTCATTTCCACAGAGCTCTACACCCCTGCCTCTCCCTCATGTCATCAAGACCTCTCTTAACTTCTTAAGAGGATTAACATGTTCCGTAATAAGCGTAGAATCCAGTCCATTCCAGCTCCATTGTCTCGCTCGTATTCAGGATGGCAGGGTGAACACTGAATTTCATGTTGAGCGTCCATGTTCAGCCTGGCTCAGCTGTTCTCGGGTCCACGAAGCACCGATAGTGTGAGGATTAGGGAGCAGAGCTCGGGGAGAAGAATCTCATTACTGGACATAATGCTCCTGGGTGAGATGCAGGGCTTCAATCATTACTGATTGGTAACAGAGAGAGAAACTCGAGGTGTGAACAATGAAACACATCTAATGAAAACCTGACAAGCTCTGCTGCTTCCCTGCCTGTATGTTGTGTTTATATTCGTCTGAAACTTGGCTCCACATATTCCTGTATTTAAAATTAATTATCGTCCATGATTGCTGCTTTTATATTAGCATGAAAGACAACAATAACACGGTATACTTTAATGTACTGCAACCAGAGGGAGTGAAGGGAGAAGCCGCTATTATGTTGAGCTTATTGGATATGGCATTATTGCAGAAATAAACTCTTTATGATCCTCATAGACATGCAAATGAGTTTTTTGAAGTCCATAGTATTATATGATGCTCTTAAAATATCTAAAAACTAAACCGGGTCAATCTATTTTTTCTCCTCATTCATGCAAATTTCATTTGATTGTTTAAGTTGATAAGAAACTGACTTTGTTAATAGTTTAACTCAGACTTGTTTTTTCTTAAAGTTGTCCTAAGACTTGATTTAAAGTTGTCCTAAAACTTGTCTTAACACTGACCTACACTTGTCCTTAGACCTGACTTAAACTTGTCTTAACACTTGACTGAAACTTGTCCTAAGACAACTTGTGTTAAGTAAGAGAAGCAATACGATCATTTTGAAGTCAATTCAATCATTTTATATTTATATTGGGAGTAAAGCCATTGGTTTATTCATGACATGTTACTTGTTAGACGCTTTTATCCAAAGCATATTCAGCATGCGGTCGTGTAATAAGCGGGATAATGTGCAGCAAGGCGGTCATTATTTTGTGAGTGTGTGTGTTCACTGGCTTACTGTCACTTCTCGCTTCCCGCTGTGGGAGGATAATCACCAGCTTGGAGGAGATGGAGCAGTGATCGAACACATCTCTAATTATCCAGATTGCCGCGAGCAGCCGAGGAGACGTGCCGCCTCATCTTGAACTTGCTGATCAGCAGAAACCAGCTCCGGCTGACTGACTCTCCAGTCAACCGAGTGACCATCTCTCAGCCTGTAATTTGAAACCAGATATAAAAAATATATCGGGCATTTCTGGACAGAGCTGAGGATATTAAACGCAAGGACGCTCGGAGGTAGAGAAGTTATGATGATCTGAAGTGCTGGAGATCCAAGACGAAACTAGCAAACAACCACTTGCCACATTGCACACTATTTCTAAGCAGACTTTGAGTATGTTGTGTTTTTTTAAAACTATTTTTCATTGTATACACTCACTGTACTGTTTTTAATTAGTATGCAAATCCAAATAATTGTACTTAACATTTAAACAAGAAATGAAAGAATACATGCACCATCAAATAAACTGCTTTTTGATTTTAGGGTTCTATTTTTCTTAACAAACAAAAAAGTGTTTTTCTTAAAGATTAATTGTATACACGTGCATACAGCAATGCTTTCTATCTCACTGGTAAGAACATAGTAGGAAAAAAAAACGCGATTTCTTCCCCATCCTTTTTTTGTAGGCGCTACATTTGGATTAAAAAGAACATTTTAAGAATGAATAGAAAACTGCTTAAAAAAATAAATAATGTCTAGTGAGTTCTTTAAGGGATGTACGCAGAAGTAGATACATCTGGAGGAGCCTGTGTTTACTGAAGTATTAAACGACCAATTGTTGAAAACCCAATAGATCAAACATCATTTCATACACACGATTCTGTGTTTGCTGGCAGGGAAATAACCTTGTTTTTTCAAATAAAGAGACAGCTGAGTCATCAAGATATCCCTCTTTCTCTCTAAGCCACATCATCATGTTGACGTCCAGGGACATTTCTCGCTCCTCGTCCTTCTCTCTTACTACGGCTAAAAAAGAAATAAAAAAAATCCTCTGAGTAAAAAGACAATAAAAGAGTGACCACAGCCCTGGATGTGAGCGTATCTGACAGCAGTTTAAACTCATGATTCATGTGATTGCGCAGTGCGGCTGGAAGTTGCTCGGCTGAAGCTATCCATTATCAGCGCTGCCTCCCGCGCTGCAGTCGCTGGCTGTCGGACCGTATCGGCGCGGCCCTGTTAGCGGCGGCAGATAACAGACCTTACCACGACACAGCACTTAAATCACAATGTCACTTTACAGCACTGCCAACTGGGCCTGCCTGACCCTCTGCTTCCAGCTGCTGCTTCACAGCGTGTGTGTGCACTTTGTGGATGATGTGTGTTTGTTTCCTCTATTGTGACACTCTCCCTCTGCTTCTGATTGTGTGCAGTTTCATTTATCTCTATAGGAACCGGCACATTCCTTTAGGAACAACATTTATTTCTTATTGGAAACAAACATGTTTCTTCTTCAGTGTGTATTTATACCAGTCAATTACACTGAATGCAGGTTTAACCATCCAAGCATGTTTTATACCTTAGGCACTTTTATTGTTTTAAAATCTGCATAGTTTACATCGGTTTGTTATTGTTTCATTGAGGTTCGCCTGAAACAGAAGGGATGTTACAAAGCTTACCTGACAGACAGAGAAAAGAACCATCAAATAAATCCAAATAGAAAAAAAACAATCATTGCTGTTCTGTATAAAATGGTTAAAATTAGACTTTAGAGAGATTTTCAACTTCCACTAATCAAAACTTAAGGAACATTTCCATGAATGTAATTAAATAGCTAACACACAATTTAATACAGGGCTTTGTAACAAAGTATTTCTGTCATGTAGTCCGTATTTGCATTACAGAAAACAAGATTCAAACAACACAGAGATCTGCTGATTTAGCATTTCTTGCGATCAAAAGACTCCGCGGGTGACCTTCAAATTCAAGAAGGAATACAGGTGTTGTTTTGAGATAAAGCTCATTTTCTTTTGTCGTCTCCAGTTGGCTTTTCATGGCAACTCACGGAGCATGAAATTAGATTTACTTGTTTTTTAATGTGCAAACTTTAAAGTGGTGCCTCCTGTTCTGTAAAACAAGCACAACAGATAAAAGAAGACATGGACATTATGCAGCTGATCCAAACCCTAAATCGTTAAGACAAACCAACATCCACGGAACATTCACAAATGTATCTGCAGTTTGTCACGTCACCCCCGTCCCTGCTTGAGTGCAAGATATAATGGGTACCCACTCATCAAAACATGGACAAATGTGACTTTATGTCAACAACTCTACAGGTGACCTTTCATTCAGGAGAACACAGGTGCCATTTAGTCATAGCTCATGTATTCCTGTGTACTCCAGGTTATATTACCCCTTGTCCCTCTGATGCCCATCCAGCATGAAATTGGATAACTTGTTGTAATGTACAATATTATAGTGTCCCTTCTGGCTCGAAAATTAACTCAAAAGACTTGAATGTGACAGTAAAATCTGTGACTAGGTTTTGAAGGAATTATTTTGGAATATAGAATCTTGCTGTGGTTGTAAAGCCACTGAAAACATTTAACTTGGGTACATTGAAAACAGGATAAAATCAAAGAAATGTGACCAATCTTAACATCTGAGCAATAAAAACCGAATAGAGGTTATTTGTGATAAATCTCTGCTTGGGTTGGTTCCCTCCTACATTTGCACATATATGTGTCAATGAGAAAGTCTATACGGCCTGCGCTCCCAAGATTTTATTCAGATGCTGGTTCCTAACGTAAGACCAAAACTAGGTAAAACAGCTTTTAAATATGCTGCCCCCGCAGCTTGGAATAATGTTCAGAAGGAGCTGAAACTCTCAGATGTAATCACTATGGGGGAATTCAAGTCCATCTTAAAGGACAGAGAACATGACACCATTGGTAGATTAAGATTACATTTTGCCAGTTTTGAATGATTTTTAATAGTTTGTTTTACTTCGCATATTGACTGGCTAATGTGCCATTTTATTTGTGTTTTACAGCTGTATTTGTCTGCCTGTCTTGTCTGTGTTTTATCTGTTGTGACTTCGTACATGCTGCCCTTCTTGGCCAGGTCATTGATTTTTTACCTGGTTAAATAAAGGATATATAAATTTGCTTTCACAATGGACAAGAATCAGTGGCCAGAGAAATGGCACGAAAACACAATTGAT